CAATGAATGTACAAATGCGCTTTACACAATTGATGTGTGTATGGATTGTGATAAGAGTTGTATGAGCCCCTAATAAAATGATTTTTTTTTAAATCATATAATATCATGATAGGTGCCATCCAGTCAGTTCCGATTCATAGTATGATAAAGTCCTTAAATCACATAAATTAAAACTGCTAATTCCATATGTAATTTTGTATTTTATCAGCTGCTATCTAATTTATGGATGTATTAATAAAGACTACTATGTTTTAGTTTCTGTATGAAAGAATATTAATCAATGTGGAGAAGTATAAAAGTTGTGCTTTGGAATGGATAGATGTGAGATCAGATCTAGCTTCACTTCCCAACTGTAATATTCAGGCAGGTGATCTAGCCTCTCTGAGTATTGAGCCACAAATAGTTTTGGAACCTAAACAAGGTGACAGATGAAAAGCATTAGCATAAAAATATGAATATATTATTTTTAATTTTAAACCTTTTTTTAGATATATATGTTGTATTCAGTCAAAGAAATGACTTGATTTATTTTTAAATAAGCATGTCATTTATTATTAAATAAATTTATTCAAAAATAAACCTGTCTTTAGCATTTGTTAAAATTATTAGCTACTACAACTTAACTTACAATTTACAAAGTGATTTTATTTACTTTAGAACATGTACAGATCGACTCACTGTCTCACTCACTCACTGTCTCACTCACTCACTGACTCACTCTCACTCTCTCACTGTCTCACTCACTCACTCACTGACTCACTCTCACTCACTCACTGTCTCACTCACTCACTGACTCACTCTCACTGTCTCTCTCACTCACTGAGTCACTCTCACTCACTCACTCTCTCACTGTGTCACTCACTCACTGACTTACTCTCACTCACTCACTGACTTACTCTCACTCACTCACTGACTCACTCTCACTCTCTCACTGTCTCACTCTGTGACTGCCTCACCCTCACTCACTCACTGTCTCGCTCACTCACTCACTCTCTCTCACTGTCTCACTCACTCACTCACTCTCTCTCACTGTCTCACTCACTCACTGACTCACTCTCACTCTCTCACTCACTCACTGTCTCTCTCACTCACTGACTCACTCTCACTCACTCACTGTCTCACTCACTCTCTCACTGTCTCTCTCATTCACTGACTCACTCTCACTCACTCACTGTCTCATTCACTCTCTCACTGTCTCATTCACTCTCTCACTGTCTCTCTCACTCACTGTCTCACTCACTCTCTCACTGTCTCTCTCACTCACTGTCTCACTCACTCTCTCACTGTCTCTCTCA